CTGCTGTAGCTGCTGTAGCCCCAGCGGCCCACAGACTGCCCTGTATCGCCCCTTCCTCCCCCGGAGTCCTGATCTTCCCCCCGCCGGGTCAGCACGACCCACCCACCGTCGGATCCGAAGTCGGAGTTGCAGCACCCTGGCTCTGCTTACTTCATCAGCCGTCCACCCCCCCCATGCAGCCTGCAAACTTACCTCAGCCTCGAGCCCTCACGTCGCACACGGGCCGGCTTGCCGTCTCCCGGAACTCCGCCTCGGGACCCAAGATCTGGCTGACCATGTGTGTTGCATCCATCCAATTTTCGTCAAAGCTGATTTACCAGTCAGGCTGAAAGCACACACACACAGACACGGCCATACTCCTCTGCACCTGAACATGCCATCCACCGACCTGACCTGACCCAAGACACACACACACACACACACGCTGCGTATCTGCAAGCCCATTAATCTCCTAGGCGGCCCCGGTTGTCTTCCCGCCTGCCAATCCACTCGGAGGTACCTACAGTAACCTTGAACCAAACCGGTACAGTCCTGTATGTACCAAGGGTAGGCACATGTCCACCTGCCGAGCCCTCCACACCACACCCGAGAGCTCGATTCTTATGCCCTCTTTCGCCGCGGCATAACAATACGACGAACCGCGCCAACAGGAATCCTTCGCCTTTCGATCTGCCCTTGGCGAAATCCATTTTTTTTTTATCTCTCTTTCTGTCTCTCTCTCTCCCTCTCTCTCCCTCTCAATCTCTCCTGGTCTGTGGCCCATCTCCATCTCCATCTAAAACCCTCCCCCCCTGAGCCGGGTAACCAACAGCCCCCCCTGGCCCTTCTCTCGGCGCGTCTTCGATTCCTCCCCTTGTTCCCCGCCGTCAGATGGGTTTACCGAGCTGCATGCCCCCCCCCCTTCTTCCTCGAGCCCGGCCGGTCCATCGTTACGACCGCAGAGCACTGTCCAACTCTCGCTCGGTCTTACCCATTGCGGTTCATGTGCACCGGGCCATCCCCGGTTCTGCTTCCCTGAAGGCTTGAACACCCCCTTCCCCTGTGCCCCCCCCCTCCCCCCCTGCAAGGTTACCCTGCGCCGAACCGACAGATGCACACATTGCTCGATCGAGACAAGGGGCTCAAATCCTTCTTTTTTATCTCCTGCCAAAATAGTGGTAGTGAACAGGCAAGCGAACCTTCTTCGTCTTCTTCGTGTTGTTGTTTATAGCATCACGTCGGCCGGCGGTAACCGGCTGGCATGTGCTTCTTTGCTTCTGGAACTATATACCGTGTCCTCATGTACAAGGGTGTATATATGTGTGTGTGTGTGTGTGTGTATGTGTATGTATAAAGTTATGTGTCGTCTTCGCACGTGGATGAGAAGGAATAAAAATAATGCTGCTGCCCGCGAACGATGCTGCTGCTTCGTGCTGCTCGTATATTGACACATCTCGCCCCCCATCGCCTTCACCAACAATCATTGTCTGTCCTCCAAATGCTGTAGTCTGTGTAAACATTATGAAAGTATGAAAACAGAAAAAGGCCATCAGATGTGTTGAAAATCAAGACCCCCCAAGCGCCATGCTATGCAAAGTAAAATCACAATGTCATCCCTCCAACCTCTCCCCCATCTCTGTCGCTTTTCCCCAGCCCCTGTCACTCGGTGACACTCACACCGCACCCTCCTGCACACGCTATGCGGAGGTAGGCAGGTCTAGGGTCGGAAGGAACCCTGCCCCTCTCCTAGTGGCGAATTCGATGCTCGGATGCGTACGGTTCAGGCTGCCACGTCCTGTTGAGCAACTCTTCATGAATCCGAGGCAGCTCAATAACCGGCCGGTGCTGCCATGATGCGTTCGACTTGCCAGTGTCCGGAGTGTGAGCCATGGGTGGTGCATCCGCGGCCGTGGAAGAGTAGCTATCAAAGCCCAGGCGCATGCGCTTGTGCGACATGGGAGGCTCGGGACTGGCCTGACGAATCGTCGTGCGTGGCGACACCGAGGCGCTCGAGTTGCTTCCGGGCCGAACGAGCTCACTTGCGCTATGCGGGTGGCGGCGCAAGTCTTCCGGCTCAGCTGGTGGTGTTGACGGTGATGTGTTGTGCCCTCCCCTTGGTCTGTAAAGGAAAACTCCAGGTCAGTCATGGTTCCACCGACAAATGCCAGAGGCGACGGGGGAGCAACTTACGCATTCTTGAACTTGCACACACGTCCAAACTTCTCGCACTGAACGCACCGAGGAAAGTCGGGGTCGCATTTGATCTTCTTCTCCCGACATGTGATGCAAGCGATTGCCAACCTCTTCCTAGGCTTTCCAGCCTTGGTCACACCCCCAGTGCGGGTTGACGGCCTCGCCGTCAATCACCGTCTTGCAATGGCTTCCATCGTCGTAGAAGTAGCACGGTCCTTCGCCTGGCACCTCAGCAGCCCGCACAAAACGTGGGAGGAAATGCGTGCCGGTCCAGATCTTGGGTCCTAGACCATCCTTGGACGGAAGCCCCTCGGATGTGACAGTGCTGGCGGCCACAGTCGGTTGAGCCAGCGCCGGCACCGGAGCCGGGCGCTGGTCGTGAAGACTCGATCCGTAGTCCTTGACCCCGGTGAAGTGGAACGGCGCGCGGTCGTGCGGCGATCTCAGCGCGCCGTGGCTTTCCCTGCTACCCAAGGAGTATTCGTGCCTCGCAGCCTCTTGATGAATCGACCACCTGCCGCTGAGTCCGCTGTCAGTTCGCGCATCATGCGTTCGATGATCCGTCTCCTTGGACCTGGAAGAGTCGGAGCCCGACAGCGACCGGGTCAGTGCGTGCAATGACGCCCGTTCTTGGTCATATCTAGCGTCGTATGTGGTGCGAGGTTGTGAGATGGAGGGAGAGCCGGCGGAGGGGAAGTAAGATGTCTGATATGGCCTGTCGCCATGAGCCGAAGACACACGAGGACGATCCAGGGGCGAGGTGGCCGGGTAGTGCGACGGCCTGTCAGAAATGGGCGAATGCAACGGGCGAATGGATGATGGAGGTCCAAACAGGCTGCTCAGAGAAGGCAGTTGTTGCCGAAGGGGGGCCTGAAGAGGCTCCGGACGACTGTGATGGTGGTCATCTACAGCCTTGACGTGTGACGAGCCGTTGGCGGCCGGACTCCGCTCATAGTTGGACATTGGCGGAGAGACGGGAGCGGTGGTGGTAGAGGCCCACGACTGAAGGTCTGCCGGCGGCGACGGGTCTTGAGGAGTAGGAGGACGAGGACGGGCTCACCAGTTCAGGAGGCGTGTCCGGGGCGGCCAGGTGAGGGTGAAGTTCCAAAGCTGATATCCCCATTGAGAGAGTAATAAGTTGAGAGTATGTGTGGTCAAAGCGGGCGGGCATCCCTTGGACAGAGTCTGGGTTCTTCTGAGTCGAGAGGAGATCTCGGGACCGCTCGGAAAGCAGGTTGTGGATACTCTCTCGTGGATACCCGCGTTGATGCAGAGTTCAGAGTCAAGTATGCCTATACCTATTAAGGGACCAAAGCAGTGTTGTGTGAGACGCTGGTGAAGACTGGCTAGGAAGTGGCGGCGGGTGATTCTGTAAGAGGTCGTGCAATAAGAGTGCCTCCAGCAAAAGGTTGATGCGTACGCTGTGAGCGAGACGATGGCCGCTCTTGTGAGTGCGCTCCGAAGAAGAGGAAGAGGGCAGAAACTCGCAAATCTTCTCTTGAATCTGAAGAGGGAGGAAGTCGAGGTCAAGAAAGAAGAGGCTGTGGTCCAAGTCAAGTGTGCGAGGGGGTCCGGTGGCTTTTTCAAAAGACCAGAAGGAACAGGCAGCGCGAAACGGCATATGGTACAGCCACCAGTCTCCATTATGTGTACATGTACCAAGCGAACCCCTTGGCAGGCCTCACAGGGAAACGAGTAACGTAAAGATACCCCGAGTCGCCAGATGGAGACTAAAGGGACCAACAGCCTGGATTGGGCTTGGCTTCATTAGACTTGGGGGTGGGTAGAGGGAGAAGGGGGGGGGATGGCACCCGGGAAGAGGCACCGATAAAGTGCTGCAAGTGCGCTCCTCCGCACACGACGGGAGCGAAGTACCCCCTTCTAGGCGCGCACACGTGCAATAGATCATGGTGTTGCCGACACCCCCCACCCCCCCCCCCTGGGTGGCCGCTTCGCTATGGGGACGGCCCCCGGCGGGGGTGAATTCAGAAGGAGGGCTAATCAAGCTCTAGCGGACTTTCGACAACTCTGCTCAATGTCATGCCCGATCCAGAGCGACCGGACCAATAGTGTGACTAGATCCCGGAGGGGCAGAATCCTTTGGCTCAAGTCCACAAGCCCAGTCGTGCGTTAAGGTGTTCGTCGTTCCGGGCGGCGGCCATCTACAATTTGAGGAGGTGCGCGCCTGGTCGGGGCAATGTGAGAAAATAACGCTTCTTTCCCGCGACGAACCCAAGCCATCGTGGGCGAGCACCATCCTCGGCATCGGGCAAGCGAGCTGACAGACAACTTTATGGTTGCTCATGTGCGTGTGTCTTGGCCGCAGAGCACGTTCTCCCATGTGGTTTCTGCGACAGAGTGTGATAGAGACCAGGGAGTCAGATGCTGCGACATGGGGCCGCCGGGGGCTCGCAGCCGAGCCAGGGCATCCTTGAAGACGGGAAGGATAAGACGGGGAAGGCAGGTGAGTGAACAAACGAGGCGAAAGAACGTGCCAAGCGTACAAAACATGCCATCGAGAGGCCAGACTATTGGGCGGTTATGCTGAAAGTGCGTTGAATGACGGCATCAATCTTACGAGGGAACGGATCAACTGGAGGCGGCTGTCCAGGTACGGTGCACACGCGCGCCGGGCGGGCCAGGGGTTCACATTCATTTGCGGTAGGCGAACAGTTTGGAAGCATGGTCTTGCGCTCGCGTCTAGAAGAAGATGGTGACGCATCGAGACAGCCGGCCTCTCTGAGCCACGCAAGCAAGGGGACTGATCCTTTTGAGAGGTGCAATGGTTGATAGTCGACAGGCAGCTGAGCTGAGGAGGGGGGGGGGCTCACATTGCGAGACAAAGAGCGCCTCAACGAAATGGTTGCCAGAGATGGTACCGACCAGCAGTGTCAAGGGCAAATTCGGGTCGGGTTGGCGGTCCAGTGATGCAGCAGCCGTCGGCGCGGGGTTGCGATTCGGGTGTCAGGCATTTTACCCTCGCACAGAATAGACCCGATGCCGTGGCTGAGGGGAGAGGACATCAGACGAACAAAGCTGTGGTGATGATGTGCGCTGGGGGGACGCACCGTTGTGTAATGGGTATCGCATCACGGGCGGCCGGGGTGCCCAGCACAACAACGCTTGTGGCGATGCCAGAGCCAAAAGTACCCTTTCGTCCTCCCTGGACCTGCCTTTCTGGTGCAGGTGCAGGGCGAGGCTTCGAGAGCGCCATGCCATCGCTTATTATGCCTGTGCCTGTGCCTGTGCCAGCGAGACCCAGGCCAGGCCAGCCAGCGCCCAGCCCCTGAAGAGAGTCCTGAACCATTGCCCAGACCAAATGTTCAGACAGAGGGTGCGCGGGTGGTGTGAGTGGAAACCCCGACACCTTGCATTGATAGTAGGAGCTAGCGAGATGCGCCCGGCACTGTCGAGGTTAGGGCGATCCCACAGCCCTGGGTGCACTGTGGAGGTACTTCATGTCCGCGTGGTGACAACTGAGGCCATAGTGCCACCTGTATATTTGGCTAAACTGTTCAAGGCGCGTGTGTGGCTTGCCTTGTCCTGTCATGATTTCTTGTGGCGGGTACTGGCCACATAGTCTCCTCAAATCTCGGCATTCGGCCGCTCTGTACCTGGTCCAGGCCAGTTGCTGTTGAGAACAGTCGGAAGGGAGCCATTCTACAGTTCAGGCTCGTCTTCTTACTTGTAAATCTTTTTCTGTTTGGATTTTTTTTTTGCTGTCGGCTTGCCTAACATCCACTAAGCACGCTCTCCTCATGGAAATGGCCAGCGGCGGGCGGCGGAGTCTGCTGACGAAGACACGCCGGGGATGCCGCGACGCTAGCGGAGTGTTGGAGAGCCGTTGGCAACTGGTCACCAGAGGGAGAGGACCCTCACCTGTGGCGACAACCAAGGGGGGGGGGGCAGCAAGGGACAGACATCCGAGTGAGAGGGGGGTTGTCCATCGGATGCTGCTCGGTGGGCCATAGCCATCGCGACATTCCCTGGACGTGGAACAGGTGGTGGAAGAATGGCATGATGCTGACTTGGGAGTCATGGTACTCGCGCGCGCCGCATGCCTGCCGCCAACTTATCTCCCATTCTTGGCAACTGGTCCGAAATGTGCTCGTGGCATGGCTGCGTGACGAGGCCGATACGGTTGTCTCGTCTGCTCCCGTCTTATTGACGATCGTGTTGAGTAGGGGGAAAGGAAAAACATGTCGCTCAGCCATGTCTCATCTCGTTCAGGCGTCGATCCGGGCCACGGCCAACGGGCAACGTGGTTAGCTCGGACTCCACGAGGGCTGGACGCGATTGCTTGATGGTTGCTCTGACCGACTCTAGCCCGCTGGTGTCGGGACATGGCTGCTGAACTGAACAACAATTGACACGAGGAACCGTCTGCGAAAGTCATGGGGAGGAACGTGGGCTGGTGGGACGCTGGCATGCCACCGTCGACGCCGCCGTTCGCCATCGTCGTTGGCGCCAAAGACTAGTGTCACCGCCGAGGCAGAAAGTATCGTGAGTCCGTGGGGCAAGGGGGCGGGGGGAGAGGACGAAAGCGTGTTCAGTGCGGTGACCACATATCGTCAGGTCAGTCCCCAAAGCTGCCTGCCCTACGTTGAGTGATACATGTCATGCACCACCTCCAGTGTCGCCCGAGTCGGGTTTGCCATGATGTCTGTAGGATTTCGAGTCATGGTGGGGCTGCGAATGGGGTCTCGAATGATTCTTGGCCGTGGAAAGATATCCACGGGGGGGGTATTGGAGCCTGGGATGGGGCTTGGTTACACGCTCGGAGCCACGAGCTATGTCTTCAGGGCGCTTGAGAGACGTGGGCCGCAACTGGGATCGGATCGGGGACGTCGGGGCCACGGGGCCCGAGGCGAAAGGCGACAGACTTCAGGGTGGAAACGGACAGTGTCGCATGCAAACCAAAAAAAACCACAGGAAAAAAAAACCGATGGTACGTGCGATAGGAGCTAGGTGCCGAGAAGTGGAGGATGGGAGATGGGGTGTGATGTGATGGAGCATGGAGGAGCCTGTGAGCCTGGAACAAGCTCCGGAGTTAGCTGGAGGAAGATGGAGCCGGACGAGCATCTGTTCTAGTGCTGGAGTGCTGGAGTGCTGGAGTGCTGGAGTGCTGGCTGGGCGAGGAGCAGGTGGATAGTGGAGTGACCAGAAGAAGGAGCACCCCCCTCCACTCTCCTGCTTCGAAGGATTGCGCCCATCACTCATAGGGCCACAGGGGGCGGAAAGGAGGAGGCAACAGCCATGGACCAGACCTCGTCGGCCCTTGCCTTCGCCTGCCGGCTTATCCTATCTCCAATACTCAATCGTCCGAGGGATGGGGACTCTTGGACATGGGACGAGAAGGCGCAACACGCGTGAATCGTGCGTTCCTGCTTCAGCTGTCATGAAGGAGTCAGGAAGTTGGAGGCTGAGGGTTGGACCTTTCGGAAGGCCGACACGGAAGACGGATGACAAGAGAATCAACGGAAGGCGGAAGCACTAACGGGCCCTTACCCACCGGCATTGGTATCACTGGATCCGAAGGTACGTACCTGCCTCCACGGTACACCTATCTTGAGCTACATGTGCGCGGTATATGTGATGTGAAGGTAATCAAGGTCCCTAGGTACATCGCACAGTATTCCCCGCGACTCGAGGGTTGCAACGACACGGTGCCATGATGAAATGGCAATTTCCTGACTCCACCTCTCTCCTGCCGCGTGGTGATGGGTACTTTTGCTTCTCTTTGTGCACCAACTCAACAAGCGAAGCGCCCAGGGAGGCAAAATCATGCTGCGGCTGTAGCCGGCGTCCAGGAGAGAGTTTTTCCTGAGAAATGCGCGGACAAAGGCAAAAAAAGAGTCGCGCGACGCCTCCTGGCTAGGGGTCGGACTCGGACTCCGGACTCGAGTGGGCTTTGAACACGGATCATGTTGTGATGGGAAAATGTCATGGATCTTGCTCACCAG